CCCACCAACGCTTCCACATCCTCCCCACTAACCTCCAGCCCCATGGACTTCCCCAATGCCACAATAGATTCCACAACTGGCATAGGCTCCTTAGGGTCAGCCCCAAACCCTTCAAAATCCCTCTCTTGTACACATTGTGGCCACAATTTTCTCCAAGCAGAGTTCAAAGTCCTGCAAGTCACTCCCTCCTAAGCCTTATCTATAAGGTTTATGCAACTGAGAATACTGAAGTGATATTTCCAGAACTCTCTTAGGGTCAATTCAATGTCTGAGGTCACTTCAAAGCCCTTTTGAAACACTGCTGTGGTGTACAGTTTTTTGAAATTTGAAATGACCTGCTGGTCCATGGGCTGCAGGAGAGGAGTGGTATTAGGAGGCAAAAACTTGACTTTGATGAAGCTCAACTCCCCTGCAATTTGCTCTTGCAAGTCGTGAGGATAAGCAGGAGCATTGTCCATTACCAGGAGGCACTTGAGGTCCAATTTATTTTCCAGGAGATACTGTTTCACAGTGGGGCCAAACACATCATAGAACCAGTCATTAAACATGTCTCTAGTGACCCATGCCTTACTGTTTGCTCTCCACATCACACACAATTTACTCTTGATGACATTGTTTTTCTTGAACACTCTGGGAGTTTCAGAGTGATACACTAGTAAAGGCTTCACTTTTCAATCCCTACTAGCATTACTACACAACATTAGAGTAAGCCTGTCTTTCATAGGCTTGTGTTCTGGGAGTGCCTTCTCCTGAGTAATGTAGGTCCTGTTTGGCATTTTCTTCCAAAACAGGCCTGTTTCATCGCAAACACTTGTTGGGGTTTTAATTTTTCAGTGTCTATGTACTCCTTAAAGTCCTGCACATATTTTTCAGCTGCTTTTTTGTCAGAACTGCCTCACCATGCCTTATCATCGTGAATATCAAAATGGTATACAATACCAACAGGTTGGTAGGTAAAACACATAGGCAGCAGTTAAGCAACTTTATTCCGAAACGTTTCGCCTACACAGTAGGCTTCTTCAGTCGAGTACAGAAAGTAGGCAGGAGCAGTAGAGACATGAAGACGATGTAATCAATCCACATCTCTACTGCTCCTGCCTACTTTCTGTACTCAACTGAAGAAGCCTACTGTGTAGGCGAAACGTTTCGGAATAAAGTTGCTTAACTGTTGCCTATGAGTCTTACCTACCTACCATGCCACTACAATTCTTAAATCTCTCAAACCAGCCTTTGCTGGCCTTAAATTCATCAACAGCAGCACTATTTGCAGGCATTTTCTTAATGAAATCCTCATGCAACTGCCTTGCCTTTTTTCACATATTATTGACTGAGAAATACTATCTCCTGATAATTGTTCCTCGTTTATGCACACCAACAACAGCCTCTCCACATCTTCGAGTATTTGCCATCTCTGTTTTGTAAGCACATTTGCACCTTTGCAACAACAGCTTCCTAATTGTTTTTTTGTTGCGCAAGATAGTAGTGATGATTGAATGGGGTTTGTTGTATAACTTTTCCAACTCCAAGATACACACTCCACTCTCGTACTTTTCTATTATCTCCTTTTTTAATTCGATAGTACACCTCACCGTTTTTACCACAGGGTTGGCACTAGAAGCTTTCTTTGGGACCATGGTGGCTTATTTAGCAGTTACAAGCACTAAAAACAATGGAATAATACAAAATATATCGCATGTACGCGTGGAACCGTCCTCAGTGGCATGTAAACAGTGGCACACTGGCTGGTACACGGGGTGAGTGGCTGGGCTCGCTCAGGGCGCCGTGCGGACACATTCGGGACGAAAGCTCCTAACCAAGTTTTTAGATGTTATCTGAGCCAATTTTTTTATGCCAAAGCGAGGCGTTATCCGATTTTGGCGTTATCCAATGTAGGTGTTAACTGAGGGTCCACTGTATAATATATAGTGGAACCTTGGTTTTCGTCGAATTTGGTTTTCAACAATTTTTTTTGTCAAAATGTTTTCAGTTTTCTTTTGTCACCTTGGTTTTTGTGCAGGTACACTTTAAAATCACTAAGAGTGTCCCTCTAGTCTTAATGTTGTAGTAATAATACTAATACGTAATAATAATCACTCTTGGGCACATTAAATGTCTTACTTTATGTTAATATAGACATTTTCATTAATTGATCTGATATTTTCTTCAAAATTTTGAAAGAAACGTTGCATAGCCCTACATTAAGACTGCAAATATTTTAAGGTAAGTAATGAATGTATTGTGTATGTACAGTGGACCCCCGGTATACGATATTAATCCTTTCCTGAGAGCTCATCGTATGCCAAAATTATCGGAAGGCGAATTAATTTTCCTCATAAGAAATAATGGAAATCAAATTAATCCGTGCAAGACACCCAAAAGTACTATGAAAAAAAAAAGTTTTACTGCATGAAATATTAAGTATAATGCACACAAACTGAAGAAGATATGCATAGTTAGTAGTACTCTACTAACAATAGAATACATGACACTTACCTTTAATGAAGATCTGGTGATGATTGATGGGATGGGAGGAGGGGAGAGTGTCGAGATTGTTAATGTTTAGAAGGGGAATCCCCTTCCATTAGGACTTGAGGTAGCAAGTCCTTTTCTGGGGTTACTTCCCTTCTTTTAATGCCACTAGGACCAGCTTGAGAGTCACTGGACCTCTGTCGCACAACAAATCTGTCCATAGAGCTCTGTACCTCCCATTCCTTTAAGATTTGTCTAAAATGGGCCACAACATTGTCATTGTAATAGTCACCAGCACGGCTTGCAATAGCTGTGTTAGGGTGATTTTCATCCATAAAGGTTTGCAGTTCAACCCACTTTGCACACACTTCCTTAATTTTTGAAGTAGGCACAATGGATTCCACAACTGGCATAGGCTTCTCAGGGTTAGCCCCAAACCCTTCAAAATCTTTCTTAATTTCCATACTAATTCTCACCCTTTTTACCACAGGGTTGGCACTAGAGCTTTCTTGGGGCCCATGGTGATAATATGGAGTGTACCGAATGTATGCTTTGATGCGAGCACACTGGCTGGCTTGTAAACACTGGCACTCACGTGGACATGTCCCGGACGAATCGTGTGTGGCGGGCTTTTAACGAGTGGCGAGGCAAAATTTTTGCGTTAAAATGTATCGAATGCCGGATTTAACGTATACCAATGCCATCGAATGCTGGGGGTCCACTGTATTTTACTTTTTATGGTGTTGTTTAATGCCTAGTTCTATTTTTAACTTAATATTAGTATAAATTTAACAACCCTATGCCTGTTGTGGAATCTATTGTGGCTTTGGGGAAGTCCATGGGGTTGGATGTGAGTGGCCAGGATGTGGAAGAGTTGGTGGCTGACCACAGGGAAGAGCTAACCACTGAAGAGCTGCAACACTACAGTTATTCTCTAAAATGTATTTTATGTTAATATTTATGGGTGGAATGGATTAATTGGATTTACAGTAGACCATTATTTAGCACGAGTTTATTTGGCACGATTTGAGTATAGCATGATTGAAGAATTGTGGCACAATTTTATGTAACAAGTCATATGATGAATTTAACACAGTTCAGTTTGCGGGAAGGTAAAAAAAACTTCCCTTTTCCTCAAGTGGCCGCCTTGTGGTTCAGCTGGGGAGAACCCCCCTCTCCCCGACACCACCCCACCATCAAAGCATTCTTACTTCATACATGTCCAGTCCAACTTCTCTGCTACAAGCTTGTGATTGTGAATTGTGTTTTGATCTTTTAATTGCTATATCTTGTATCTACCAAGCAATCACGACACCCAGTAAGCATACCAGTGTTGCTCAAAGTGGCAAGAAAAGGTGTAAACATTTAAGTCTTAGAATTAACGAAGGAAACAAAGATATTAGACAAGACATCCTGTGGCCATAATGAAGTGTTACTTGGTACACATAAAAAAGGTAAACGTAAGTTTGTGTGACTAACTTAGTGACTGACTGCTTACTGAATGACTGAGTGACTTGACTGACTTACCGAATGAATTGACTGACTTACTGAATGAAATGACTGACTTATTGAATGACTTGACTGACGTACTGAATGACTTGATTGACTTACTGAATGAAATGACTGACTTACTGAATGAAATGACTGACTTACTGAATGACTTGACTGACTTACTGAATGACTTGACTGATTTATTGAGTGACTTGACTGACTCATGAAATCGTAATGACACGATTGCAAACAAACCATACCACAGGCGGGGATAGAACCCGCGATCAGAGAGTCTCAAAACTCCAGACCGTGGCTAACGCGATGGTCTGGAGTTTTGAGACTCTCTGATCACAGGTTCTATCCCTGCCCGTGGTATGGTTTGACTTGACTGACTTAGTGAATGAATTGACTGACATACTGAATGACTTGACTGACTGAATGACAAAGTTAGACACTCCAGTACAACCATCAACTTCAATACCAGAACCTCTACCATCCACCTCAGACCAGTAGGGCCACAACATAACTCTCCACTCACTTCACAATCATCCACAAACACCAGCACCCACAATTTAAGGTAAGAAATACTATTATTTCTGTTACATTTGTAGTCTTAAGCAGTAAAAACAACATAATATGTACATTACAATAATGAACTACAATTACATATTCACTTTTATTTTTGTAAGATGTGGAGGCCTAAAAAAAGTTTTTGGATTTTTTGGGGCTCTCAGGAACGTAACCCTATTTTTCCATACGTTCTTCAGTTCGTCTAACACGGTTTTACCTAACCCGTTATTTTCAGAAACGTAACTACCGTCTTAAATAACGGTCTACTGTACATTATTTCTTGTGGGAAATATTGCTTTAGTTTTTATTGAATTTGGTTTTTGCACTCTTGGAACGAATTAAAAATGAAAACCGAGGTTCCACCGTATTTAGTGTATTACTGTCATATTTTTTTATATTTACCAAATTGTTCCATATAACTGCAATTCATGTTTTTCACAGCTACTCCACCATTTAAGGCTTTAATATACCAAATCAAAGTATTTTTCTACAGACCTGGGGATGCTCTGGTACGGAGTGACAGGGGTGTCGTTCAACCCAGCTGATCCTGCTGAGGTGATGCTTAACACAGGCACAGCAGCTCCACTTCTGTCAGATCATCCAAGACCACTTGTTCCTACACCAGTCTCCTATAGTGACCCTATGCCCACCCAGCATACACAGATGGTATGATAGCACTATAAGTAAAGAATGTCAGTTTTTTATATAGTACATATAAGGAAAAACTATATTAACCCTTTAACTGTCCACAATGGGAGCCAGCAGGCCACCAGCAACAATAGCCTGATTGACCAGGCAAGTACTAAATGAGCATGGCTCATGACCAGACTCTGGGAGTAGAAAAGCTGTCAGAACTCATCAAAGCAGGGGACCAAACTGTGGGTCACATGTATACTAGTACACTTAATTTTCATGCCTTCAAATATGCCACCTGCCACCATTTTAGGTGTCAGCTTGACTGAGTCACCTACCATCTTCTCACACACTTGTGGATAAATATCTAGCACCAGGAGGGCCCACACAGTGCATTATGGGTAGCATTGCCTCGGTAGCACATGTAAATGACAAGTAGGACTTGTTTTCCCACCAACTTCCCTGCCTGCAAACAGGATGTGGAATTGGCATGAAGATGCCTTATTTGCTCCAAATTGATCACTATTTCATGATACAGTGGAATTCACCTTAAAATAAAAGTTGTAAATTTAACTTAGGATAACCCAATGCTGTCACTGTGAGTCATTGCCATGTTATGAGAGTATCATTCATTGAAGCAATTACAGTGGATATCCGATAAAATGAATCAGTAGGGGGGAAAGGGTTATCCAGTTTATTGAAAAATTCGATATATTGAAAGTTTTGATTAAGTAGATGTAGTCTGCTGTATTGATGGACAACAAGATGTGCTAAGAATAAACTGGGGTTCAGTACAGTACAGTAATTTCCCCGGTGGATAGATAAGCTTACAAATGTACAGTAGAGTGCAGTATTCCCATAGGGGTCTTGTAGTGACCCAGAATAATTTATTCTAAGTCAGAGGAACTGTAAAACTCTAGCAGTAACAGTGCAGATAGTGTAGGAGATATACAGTTAGATAGTGTGGGAGATATATAGGTAGATAGTGTGGGAGATATACAGGTAGATAGTGTGGGAGATACACAGGTAGATAGTGTGGGAGATATACAGGTAATGTGGCAGATATACAAGTAGATAGTGAGGGAGATATACAGGTAGATACTGTGGGAGATATACAGGTAGATAGTGTAGGAGATATACAGGTAGATAGTGTGGGAGATGTACAGGTAGATAGTGTGGGAGATATACAGGTAGATAGTGTGGAAGATATACAGGTAGATAGTGTGGGAGATATACAGGTAGATAGTGTTGGAGATATACAGGTAGTGTAGGAGATACACAGGTAGTGTAGGAGATATATAGGTAGATAATGTAGGAGGTATACAGGTAGATAGTGAGGGAGACATACAGGTAGATAGTGAGGGAGATATACAGGTAGATGGTAAGGAAGATATACAGATAGATAGTGAGGAAGATATACAGGTAGATGGTGAGGAAGATATATAGGTAGATAGTGAGGGAGATATACAGGTAGATGGTGAGGAAGATACGCAGGTAGATGGTGAGGGAGATAGACAAGTAGTTAGTGATGGAAATATACAAGTAGATAGTGAGGGAGATATACAGGTGGATAGTGATATACAGGCTACCACAGGTCAATGGTGAGGGAGATTTACAGGTAGATGGTGAGGGAGATATACAGGTAGATGGTGAGGGAGATATACAGGTAGATAGTGAAGGAGATATACAGGTAGATAGTGAAGGAGATATACAGGTAGATAGTGAAGGAGTTATACAGGTAGATAGTAAAGGAGATATACAGGTAGATAGTGAAGGAGATATACAGGTAGATAGGGGAAGGAGATATACAGTAGATAGTGAGGAAGATATACAGGTAGATAGTGAAGGAGATATACAGGTAGATAGTGAAGGAGATATACAGGTAGATGGTGAGGGAGATATACAGGTAGATGGTGAGGGAGATATACAGGTAGATGGTGAGGGAGATATACAGGTAGATAGTGAGGGAGATATACAGGTAGATAGTGAAGGAGATATACAGGTAGATAGTGAAGGAGATATACAGGTAGATAGTGAAGGAGATATACAGGTAGATGTGAGGAGATATGAGGTAGATAGTGAGGAGATATACAGGTAGATAGTGAAGGAGATATACAGGTAGATAGTGAGGGAGATATGCAGGTAGATAGTGAAGGAGATATACAGGTAGATGGTGAGGGAGATATACAGGTAGTGTGCAGGTAGATAGTGGAGGGAGATATACAGGTAGATAGTGAGGGAGATATACAGGTAGATAGTGAGGGAGATATACAGGTAGATAGTGAAGGAGATATACAGGTAGATAGTGAGGAGATATACAGGTAGATAGTGAAGGAGATATGCAGGTAGATAGTGAAGGAGATATACAGGTAGATAGTGAAGGAGATATATAGGTAGATAGTGAGGGAGATATATAGGTAGATAGTGAAGGAGATATACAGGTAATAGTGAGGAGATATACAGGTAGATAGTGAAGGAGATATAAGGTAATAGTGAGGAGATATACAGGTAGATAGTGAAGATATATCAGGTAGATAGTGAGGGAGATATACAGGTAGATAGTGAAGGAGATATACAGGTAGATAGTGAAGGAGATATACAGGTAGATAGTGAAGGAGATATACAGGTAGATAGTGAGGGAGATATACAGGTAGATAGTGAAGGAGATATATAGGTAGATAGTGAAAGATATAAGGTAGTAGTGAGGAGATATACAGGTAGATAGTGAGGAGATATACAGGTAGTTGAGATATACAGGTAAGGGGAGATATACAGGTAGATGTGAGGAGATATACAGGTAGATAGTGAGGGAGATATACAGGTAGATAGTGAAGGAGATATACAGGTAGATAGTGAGGGATATACAGGTAGATAGTGAGGGAGATATACAGGTACGTATGAGGAGATATACAGGTAGCTAGTGAGGGACATACAGGTAGATGTTTTGAAGTAGATATCAGGTAGATTTGTGGGAGTTATCATGAAATCGAGCAGAAAATATATTACATAATAACATCCTTCCTATCTTGGAATAAATGACTGTCACCTCTTTTATACTATCCTTTTAACCCTTTGACTGTTTTGGTTGTACATATACGTCTTACGAGCCACTGTTTTTGACATATACACTCATAAATTCTAGTGGCTTCAAATCAAGCAGGAGAAAGCTGGTAGCCCAATGTAGGAGAATGGGTCTGTTGTCAGTTGCACTATATAAAAAAAATCCTGTAGCACGAGTGCATAATGAGAAATCAAAATACGACCGTTTTTTAATTAAATGCGATTTTGTGGTCTATTTTCGTATATATTAGTTGTATTCTCGTTTTCCTGTCTCATTTGATAGAATGGAAAAATATTATAGAATAGGGGTGATTTTGATTGGTTTTACTATGAAAAGAACCTTGAAATGGAGCTCAAAGTAAGGGAAATGTTTGATTTTTGCCGATGTTCAAAGGTAAACAAATGATGTCATTTTCCAATAAGTGTCCAACTAGCCATTCTAATATGCAGTCATGAATATGTTGACATTATTTATACAATTGTTACAATATTGCAGTAGTCTGCATAACAGTAAATCTATTTTTGTTTGAATAAACATTCAAAATAGAAAGCAAGAGTAATATCAGAGGGGCCTGGAGACATGACTGATGAACGAAGAAAATGTTATTTTAGAGCCAGAAATGTCTGCATTGTTCTTTCTGGACCCTATTTTGAAATTGTCATATTTTTTAATTTTCTTGAAATTGGCCAAATTGCAAATTTCTGACCATGTTATTGGGTAGTTGAAATCGGTAAATGGGCAGTTTCTTGTACTCGATAGAAAAAATGGAGTTCTAAAGAAATAGCTATGAGTTTGGTCAACTGGAACAATAGAATTAACCGAAAATAGGGCTCAAAGTGGGCGAAATCACCGATTCGTAAATATCACCAAGGTCGCTAACTTCGTGAGAGAGTAATTCTGTCAGTTTTCCACCAAATCTCGTTCTTTTGGTGTCATTACAATTGGGAAAAGATTCTCTATCATTTCATAAGAATTTTTTTTTTTTTTTTAAATTTTGCGACACCAGGAGACACCTCAGGATTTGAGGTTGCGACAGTCAAGGGGTTAATCCATCTAAATACACCCCACAGTAGAATAAATTAACATAAATATGAGATGTGGTAGCCAGGCAACTTGTAGGACTTGTAGTAGCCAGGCAACTTGTAGGACTTGTGGTAGCCAGGCAACTTGTAGGACTTGTGGTAGCCAGGCAACTTGTAGGACTTGTGGTAGCCAGGCGTCTTGTAGGACTTGTGGTAGCCAGGCAACTTGTAGGACTTGTGGTAGCCAGGTAACTTGTAGGACTTGTGGTAGCCAGGCAAAGTGTAGGACTCGTGGCAGCCAGGCAACTTGTAGGACTTGTGGTAGCCAGGCAACTTGTAGGACGTGTGGTAGCCAGGCAAAGTGTAGGACTCGTGGTAGCCAGGCAACATGTAGGACTTGTGGTAGCCAGGCGACGTGTTGGACTTGACAAAAACCAGACGTGTTCAACTGGTTTGTTTACATTATGTATGGGTGGGGTGGGGAAGGCTGCCCTTCCTGGCTACCCATACTTCCCAACCTGATTTCATACGAATAAAACTCGCCTCTCACCCTACATTAAGTCTACAAATATTTTAAGGTAATTAATGAGTGTACTATATATGCATTTTATCGCTCTAGGGTAGCATGGTGTCGTAGTAAGTATAAGTGGCCAGGCAGGATGCCATACCTCCCACACGACTTTCTACAAATAAATACTTTTCACCTTTCACCCTACATTAAGACCATTAAGACTACAAATATTTTAAGGTAAGTAATACGTGTATTGTGTATGCATTTTATCGCTCTAGGGAGTTTTAAGCATCGTAGTATAGTGTTTGTGGGTGGGGTGGCCAGGAGGGCTACCACACCTGACTTCTTAGAGTAAATACTACTCACCTTTTGCCCTACATTAAGACTACAAATATTTTGAGGTAAATAATGAGTGTAGTGTGGGTGTATTTTGCTTTTT